AATGGTTGAAAGTTTTTCTTAAAAATTACGGAGCTTTGTGTATTGGGTGTGTTAACGAAAACAAAAGTGAATATTTAGCTTACATACATTTGTTTGTACTTTGTTATTTTTGTTAAAAGAAATAAAAAGGAGTCACAATTCACAGTTAACAATATTGTGCACTCAAATTAAAGTGGTAGGCTGTCTTAAGTGGTAAGACTCCTTTCTGCGTTAGTCGTCTGGATATGTACCACTCTATTACCTATTTCTTCTGCCAAATAGTTGTGGTTGTACTGCTATGTTCCCGTCTTAAGGTAAAAAAACCCAGTATTATTACGGGCTGCATTCCATCTTAGTTGTCAAAGATGACAACGCAGCCTTCTTTTTTTAATTTGGTATTCAAGTATTAATGGAATGCAGTAGCCACTTACTAAGTGGACTATAAAAAATAAATATACACAACAATTACGTCGCTTGGCTTACACATTGGGAGTTATATTTAGAATTACTGTTATCGTTACTGTTATAGCATATTAAATTCCACTGCTGAACATAGGCCTTCCCTATAGATTGCTTCATATATTTGTCATAGGTGCCACGCTTTGCAAGCGCAGTTTTTTATTTTCAGTCGTTATTAAGAAGACGCACCTGCCAATCTCCTGATTTGTTTCCATCTGTCACCTCTTATACCCACGGAACGATATAAGGTAATGGGTATGTTTATCTGCAACTGCACAATGTTTTTTAGAATAAAATTACATTAAAATTGGTTTACACTCCAAAATATTTACTTACTTCGTCGTGTAGACAATACTATTCTAAATAATATACAAATAAAAAAAACCATTTTGTTTTCAAGATATTGGTCAATAGTCCCTTTAACGAACAGGCTCATGTCCAGCATTTGACTTTAACGGGCTGATGAAGAAGAAGAATGCGTTTTTAACGACTGTAATGTTGCACAACACCTAAAGTAAGGGTGGAGAATCGGCGAAGGATTCGATGTCTAAAATAAAATGGAGGATCCCTATCCTCCATTTTAAAGCATATTTTTCCTTGTTACTCCGGTGTTTGTAGGACAGTCCGAACACCATCTTAGTTTATTAGTAAGCCAGCCGGAGAACGCAACGCAAGTCCCTACACAACACGGCACTGTTTTGTTTCGTCAATCATAGATATTTCTGGGACAATATTTAAGAAGATTATTGTGCACTCTCCTTTGTGGCGCAGAATGATCTTTATATTTAAACATTAACCAACCCAAGTAATACTCGTAAATAAGTAGAAATTAGTAAATTATTATAGCACCTATATTTAAATTTCTGTGTAATTAACATCAAATACATTGTTTTGGCAGATCATCATTACTGCGGTGGAGGTAAATATGTCGAACAAATATTAGTGGCTGTTGTTTTACGGATTTCATACCATTGATTGAAAAGCAATCACGTTGTTTTATTTGTATTTTATGCAAATGCATAATTATATTATTTTCATACTAACTAATAATATTGCTACTATTTTGGTAAGTTTTACAATATCTTGCACCAATCAACCGCTATAAGGCCTCTCCGACGCCGCGTTACTAATCATGGTCTCACCTTGCGCAGATTGTCGCCATATAGTCAGAGGGCATTCCACATTAAATTTGAAACCCCAAACGTGTGTTGTAGCCATGTCGTCACTTTCGTCTTCATATTTTATGGTATGTTTGATGAAAAACCCAGACCGAGCTTTCTAAATAAACACTTACAAGATTCTCGAGAAGAATTTTCTCTTTCTACCTAGTGCAAAATATTTGCTCGATGTAAAAATATTCGTTGACAACCTTAAGAATCTCACCTCCGACAGTCAGTGGGTCTAGCATATCGTGATCGTTGAACGTAATTTTTGTTGTGTTCAATTTCATACCCAGATCAATACGGCGTCGGGCAACACAAGGTTTCATTCATAGTTTAGAAATTCGTCAACCCATTTGGTCCCTTGGGTGTCGTAAAAGGCGGATATAGGAAAGGCCAAAAATATCTCAAGGCCATCGTTAGATTGCGGCTTACCCCCGGCGTTATACTGTATGGCCGTCGACCGGGAGGTGCGAGAAATCTGGTACTGTGATTGCCAATACACCTGCCAAATAGTGATGAAGACAATTGTCCCCACCCTAGGAAAAAGCCATGACCAGCAATGAACTGCAAAGAAAAATGAAAATTGTTCTTAAAAGAGTAATTTATATTTCATTTAATTAATAAAATGTGTTTGCAGTTTATCATTATCATGGTCATCATTACTAAAACCCATCACAAAGCCACTTCTGAGCCACTTCAATAAATGCCACAAAGCACGGTCCTGAGCCAACTGCATTCATCGACTACCTGCATCTCTTACCAGATCGTCACTCCATCAATTGGTGGGCCGCTCTACATTACATAGCTTAATGGTACCTTACTTTGGTTGTAGTTATTGTAAACAAATTTTCTTTAAGTACTACTTTCGTCTACGTATTACGTAACAAATTTTCTTCTTATTTACAACTATTAAAGAGTCTCTTGATGATCTTTTAGATAGTATATGTATTTTAGTTTTAAGCGTAACCTTCACATTAGGATTTTATCCTAAATCGCGGTTTTCTTATACACATTAATTGCAAAACTTCAAACACCCATACCTGCAACAATTACTTTTTTGTGAGCCATACAAATACTTGTTATTTATAGGAATTGTACTAGCGCCCCGAAGCGATGCAACCAATCACTAAGTCACTGGTATGCCACGGTATTTTTGTTTTGTATTTTAAAACGTGCAGCAGACAATTTTTAAAGCTATTATTGAACGACGCGACGGTATTTGAGATAGCAAACATTGATACGTATCTAGCTTAAAATTATATTCTTTCTAAATAAATTTCATCATCATTATTATCATTTATGCATCACAAATGCAAATATGGATCTTCTCAAAAACCGTTGTATAGTACAATCCTGAGTCCACTTACTGCTCGAAACTGCCTCTATAAAACTTTTCTTCCTTAACTTTATCGATTTTAAGACTTTTATGGCTAGATCATTACTATTCTAGAATCCTTATCGCTAACCCGCGTGCCAATCGTAGAACTTATGGCAAATATCCCTTTTTTGTGACAGTATATGGCGAAATCTATGTTTAGCAGAAGATTTAGATAGTCCGTAAAAATGAATGAATGAATATACTTGTCGAATTGTATCGGTTGCTTTAAAAAAATAGCAACGTCACTAACACTACTAAAATTTCCATATATGGTATATCCAACTTAATTTAAAATGCTTGTGTTAATAGTAATTAACGCTAGTAATCGAATGGAGGATTCGAACTCACGACCTTTTAGTTTTGCAGTCCATATACCTTAATAATTATTCCTGTTCTACCCTATACATAACCTCGATGAATGGCTTTGAGCTTGCTATCCTACAGGGACTGCACTGAAGGACGACGTCTCGGAACCATAGTTTGGCACCACCCACTGTTTATATACTCGTATTTCTGTGTAGAGGTTTTGTTTTGTTTTTTATTGTCCAAAGTGAGGTGTCGCAACTCTCTCTGTATTTAATAATAATATACGTCATTACACTGACAACACTCAAATCGAGGAGTGTTCAGTTTATAAAGTGCCGGTGGCAAGAAATGCTCTACTGGGCGTAAACTTTGTTTAACTATTAAGTTTGAGAATACTGCCAGTAGCGATACGGAGTTTTGAAGTAACCTAACAAACAATCTATTTTGGTAATGAAATAATAAACTTGTTGAAGTGAAAACTTCTTTAGCATCGTTTTGATATGAAAAAGCGACACTTAAAAGAGACAAACGTATACCATCCATAGGATTTAGCCTGCGTGAGGATGAGATAGAATACAGTAAAGCAAGCGACAGTCGCCTAATGGCAGCGTGCGGATCGTGAACCCAAAAGTTATCAGTTTGAATTGGCCATTCGATTTGGAATTCTAATGGAATTTTGGAAACGTTAACAGCAATGTTAGAATTTTTTTAAATAGTTATTCCTATTATTTCGGTATCCTCTTTGTACGGGAAATAAATAGTAAATAAATTAACAAATGTAAAAAATAAATAAAATTAACCATATTGAATAAAATTATCATATACAATTCATTCATAACAATCAACGATTAGATAGTTTACCGATTAATATTAAGTTATTCGTGTTTTTGCCATCTAGCGCCTATCTCATGTACCACTTTGAAAGTCAATTTTTGTTCAATAAATTAACTTTTCCTATACAGGGTTATATTGCAATTACCGGCCAAATTTGTAGAGGAGGTTCAGTATAAGTAATAAAGGCAAATGGTGAGAAAAAATTAATTAAAAAATCTCAAAAATTTTGTCATTATTATGTCTTAAATTAAAAATACTTGGTAATGCATTATTTTAACTGACTTTCATTCATAAATATATAACGTTTAGTATTTTATGTACGCACACATTGGTAAGGGTGCCTTTGTCGTGCATCTCCCTTGCTCTTTTTTTATTTACCGTTACATCGCTAAGCAAAGTCAAGCCAATAGCTGACAGTGTTGACCGTGACCTCATTACGTACGCTTTGTTACCAATGACGTTACAAAATTATTCGAACCGCTGGTACTATTAAACGTTGCAATATTACAGCCGCTTAATTATGGTCATTGATCTGCCTGAAGAATGTTGTCTTTTTAATGCATAAGTTTGTATCTTTATTTTATTTTTATTTGTGTTTATTATTTTTTTATTTTTTATTTTAGTGCACCTTAACCATTGTTCTTTTTCTTATTTTGTATTTATTTCTTCTTCTGGGTTGTCTGGAAGAGATTGCTATGTAGCAATAAGACCGCCCTTTGTATTTCCCTCGATAGTTGTTATTTTTTTATTTTTGATGTTGTTATCATTTCTTGGTGTACAATAAAGAGTATTGTATTGTATTGTATTGTATCGTTTACCGTGTTTACGCGAGAAATTAATGCAAGTGTACCACCCATCGGAGAAAAAATTTTGCAGCTAACCTTATGCTGTTAGACTTTGGACAGTACACCACTCCGACACATAGAATTGCTCGAGGTGGTCTTTCTGTAATAAGCTCGGCTGTCAAAAATACGGTGATTGAGTCAAGGACTACAATATTATAGGGTAGATCGAGTTCATAGTTAGCCAGTACGTATGGAAACTGCTGAATTCTTCTAGATATCGCCCATTTCATTACCAACGTCTACAAGCACAGTTATGAATAAAGAATGGTAAGAATGGTTAGTGACATTTTAAGTGATTGCATATTTAAGTAGTAAAATTATGATAATAAACATGTTACACCATTCTGCGCCGAACGACGTACGCGCCGACGTGATATTCAAGTCAGCTGAGGTCGACAATACTCGGCACTATTCGTACTGTCTATTATCCTGCATATTTACTCGCCAGTCTGGTTTTAAACGGTCTTAATGTTAGATGCCGCCGGAGTAAGCGTTATTTAAATCACGTCAAATTATTATCGGCTTACTATCTTAGCTATCTTTTCTACAACTAATTATTGCCATTTATTTTCCTCACTCTGTAGTCTAAACTTGTATTTTGAACTATCTTTTGTGTGGGAGTAAAATTTATTTAATTCGAGGAGTATAGAATTTTTATTTGCATAGCATCTATCCCACACGCCGTAAAATGAAAAAAATATATTTATTACTAGCTGTTCCGCGCGACTTCGCCCGCCTCTTATTTGGTGTTTTATTTTTTTTGCGCGGAACCCTAATTGTTTTTCTAAAATAAAAGTATCCTAAGTTACTCCTTATGACTTCAGCTATCTGCCAGTGAAAGTCCCGTCAAAATCAGTCCAGCCGTATCAGAGATTAGCCGGAACAAACAGACAGACAGACAGACCGACAGACAGACCGACAGATAGACGTACAGACAGACCAACAGACAGACCGACAGACAGACATATAGACAAAAATTTTAAAAATTGTGTTTTTGTTATAAGTAGCGTATATACTTTTATATGTATTTAGTAAAAAGCCGTAATTTTGACATTACAAACAGACACTTCAATTTTATTCATTTGTATAGATGACGTACCTAAGCCCGTTTAAAGTATGAAGGGAAAATTGGAATCATAGTATTGAGCGTGTCATTAAGGAAGTAAATAGTAGGAAAACGCCCCGTGCATTGACACACGGGCGCGCGCTTTTGTTGCCCATAAGTAATATTCAATTTCGGATATTTTGAAAAAAAAATGTAGAAACCTTATTTAGGCGTATTATTAAAAAACTCAAAAATTATATATCAGTACTAGCTGTTCTCCGCGACTTCGCCCGCGTGTAATTTAGGGTTTTAATTATGTTCCGCGGAACCCTAATTCTTTTTTCTTTTTCCTAAATATAAGTAGCCTTAGTTACTTCTAATAACATCAGCTATCTGCCAGTGAAAGTCCCGTCGAAATCGGTCCAGCCGTTTCGTAGATTAGCCGGAACAAACAGACAGACAGACAGACCGACAGACAAAAATTTTAAAAATTGTGTTTTTGTTATAAGTACCGTATATACTTTCATATGCATTTAGTAAAAAGCTGGTATTTTGGCATTACAAACAGACTCTTCAATTTTATTTATTTGTATAGATTTATATTTTGAACGTAATTATTAAATTTGGCTAGTCTTTGAAAAATTACCCTGTAGAATGAAGTAGATAGAGCTATTACAAAGCAATTTTACTCGAAAGAAAAAAATATTTACTCGTACTACACTAAAATTAAGCTTAAAAATAAAGATTGTAACATTTATTTGTAATAAAATTAAAAACTCATTTGTGGTTGAAAATGATCATATTTATTAAATCATTAGCCGTGAAATATTTTTATTTTATATTTCATTTCATTTGGAGGTTTCACTTCTACCGTGTGTGAACCGCACACATGTTTTTTTTTCCTTTTTGTTACTTTGTCGATCAATAGGTCTGTCAATTTTGGCGATCACGGTGTTGCCCCTTAAATGGAAGAGATCCATATGGATAGCCCATTATGAAGCCCGTTATTTACTGCCAGATTATGAAGAAAAAGAAGCATTTTATAAATATCAGGTGAAAAAAATTTAGCGTAGAAAATTACTATACAGTAGATTTATGGTTTGTATATTTAATATTGTAAACGTAATTAGATTCCTACTAACGTGATCACGTTATTGATCATATAATTTGTTTCTGAATAGAACTACTGGAATAGAATAGAATAATTTTTTATTCAATATAGATCACATGTGTAATTCTTATTGAAAGTAATTTTTTACTTTACCACTGGTTCGAGAAAAAACCTCTGTCCTGGGAAGAACCAGCAAGAAACTCAGCGGGACTTTCAAGCTACTTGCGTGAATTGTGTAGCAAAGCTAATAGTTTACCATACATATAAATACAATATGATATATATAAAATAATTTGTTAGAAATAAATAACATACTAGCAACTTTGAGTTTTATGTAATGTATGTAAACATTAAAAAAAAATATCCTTCGCCATTAGCGATTTTATAAGTTCAAAGTCACCCGGCCAGCTTTGGAGTGGGCTATGCTCAGAGTGTTTCTGCGAGATAGAAGCCGTAACGATGATATCCGCAGTACAACTAAAGTACCTACTTGATAAAGTCCAAGGAATAAGTAAGCAGAAGTTGTAACAGGCCGGCCATAAGCACAGAATCTCACAAATAGCATAAAATAGCAGCAAAATGTTTCGTACGATAAGTGAAAAGACTGACTGATACTGGCAACCTTAGCATACAGTTGCTGATACCACGGTAGCTTATACAGTCCTGCTGTGATCCTTTTCCTTTATATATTGGGACTATCACGGCTTTACACCCGTCTCCTGGTATACGCTTAAGTTTCCAACATAAATTAAACAAGGTGTACAGCAGGTCTGCTACCACTTTTTCTCCAGCCCTTAGCGTTTCGAGAGATACTCTATCATATCCAACTGCCTTACCTGTTTTCATACTTATCATTGCTTTCAATATTTCATCTATACTTATGTCTCTATCTATTTCCTCTTCTTTCGGAATTTTTATTTCATTTAATTCAAACGTGTCATCACTCATAAACACGCTTTCAAAGTATTCCTTCCAACTCCTTAAACTCAAAACTTCGTTATTTAGAATGCAGCAGGTCTCGTATGGTATTCATTCTAGGCTGTTTTGAATGTCCCCTGGCAGTTCTTACGAGTTTCTAGAACATTTTTATGTTTGCCTGGAAGTTATTCGATATTCTTCTATCATTCTTATCCGTTGTTTCTTGCTCTTTCCTTTCAACTACTTCTTTTACTCCCTTATTTAGATGTCTAAAGACTGCCTTTTTGCTTTCAATATCATCATTCATACTGCTAGAATTACTATCCTTGGTTGCTAGTAAATCTATCCATGCTTTCTTCTTTGCCCCAACTTCCATCCGTACCTCATTATCCCACCATAACGTGTTATTTTTCATTTCATTCGTTTTCTTACTAACACCACATACTTTGGTAGCTGCATCCACCAAACTTTTCTTAACATTATACTACACAGTGTCCAAGTCTAAATAATTCATAGACAATTCAGCCATACCACTTATATTTTCTCTAGTCTAAATTTGAACTTCTCTTTTACACCATCGTTTTGTAAACTCTCCGTTCTTATACGCTGTAACGCAGTGGTAGACATAGATGTCAGATGCCGCCCACGTCTGAAAAGATCATTAATTTGGCATAAGACCAAGTAATTTTCTGTCCCTACGTTGGAACCTCGGTAAACCCTTGTATGTACCAGCGCGCTCCTCACTCTTTCATCCACAATTACAAAATCTATCATGCTTCTATCATCACCTCTTTTCCATGTATACGTGTGAATCTTCTGAAAGTGTTCGTCACAAAAATATTCTTTTCCACACATATGGTGTGGAGGCTTTCACCATTCTCTTTTAAACTTTCATCACGAAACGTTCCCAATATCCTTACATAACCAAGTCCTCCTCACTCCAACCCTTTCATAAAAATCTCCTAATATCACAATATTTTCATTAACTTAGTTAATGAGTTAGACCCCTAGAACAAACAACTTCTTTAAGCCCACTTTCATTCGTACCCATAGTAGTCTCGGGCTTACACCTTCATACTCTTTAACACAATGACCCATTCTTTATGAAAGGATGATATCGACTCCCTGGCATGCCCGCTCGATCTCGTCTACACCAGACCAATACGCGGTATACATGCCATGTGAAGTGGCATCATTTCCGTTCCGTTTCGTCTGATTTACATATAACGCGTCTATTTCTCTATCATCCATCATATCGCATACTTGCTCCACATACATTCAACGTAACCAGATGGGCTTCCGCAATCCACTTTTAGCCCCTCCGGGGACAGAACGTGACGGGTGGTGAACCTCGTCACCGTTTTTTCTCCCGGATGTTATTTGCACCCCTGCCCCATTAAAAGGGCGCCGGGAACTCGGGGCCATTTCGTAACTTTTTTGCCTCATGGTGCGAAAGTAGGGGGTGGTATTTTTTTACGCCGCTACCACAAGGCGAGGAGCCGAGTCTGTGCTTTCGGCTTTGTCGCTTGTTTAGCACCACCCGGGGGACACGTGTAGGGTGAGCCTAGCATTAGGTGGTCGAAGCCTGTGGACGCGAGCGACTCGTCCCCCCATTCTTTAGACACAGGTATTACCTGTTTCTTATACACCAATATCATTTACCTAACTAGAGTGACATAACGAACACACAAGATGGTAATGGGATGCTGGGGCCCATAAGTATTTATATTTTATTTTAGTTTAAGAATCAAAATGTAGATGCGTTGTCACCCCTGAGAACTGAGATTGAATGCCTTATTTATAAAAGGGTTTTTGGTGTAGATAAACACCCACCTGAAACGCAGCAGCATTAAGCTGCTATTTCATGCTATTATTATGTGCGAACGTTCGTGCTACAACCATAACATAGATTCATTATACATATCATGTGTATAATATATAACTATAACATTCAGTATAATTTTTAAAACAAACTATATTAAAATATATTTTATTATTATTTTACTTGATATTAGATTCCACTGCCTTGATTTGGGATGAGTCTATATGTATAATAGATATAATGTATGCAAATAATAATGTATACAAATACTTCTAATTATCATTCTGAAAGCTATAATTTGTGAAATCACAATTTCATAAAAACATTATATTTT